TAGACACGTCCTATAGACACATCTTATCAACATGTCTTATAGACACATCTTATAGACACGTTTTTCAACATGTTTATAGACCGTCTTAGGACACTTTATAACTGTTTAAGAACATCTTAGCCCATTTTCAACATTCTATGACCCTCTAGACACATTTATAAATGTCTTATAGACAGTTTATCAACAGTTATAACAGTCTTATAGAAGTTTAACCTGTTATAACAGTCTTGACATTTATCAACTGTCTTATAGACACGTCTATAGACATTTTCAATGTCTTTAGCAGTTAAGACACTCTTATCAACAGTCTTATAGAAAAAGTTTATCAACATGTCTTTAGACCGTTCTATAGCCTTTTCAACATGTCTTATGAATCTATAGACACTCTTATCACATGTCTTATGAAGTCTATCAAAACATGTTTATAGACGTTAAGACTCTTATAACACGGTTTTTTCAACATGTCTTATAGACAGTCCTATAGAACTTTATCAACATGTCTTATAGACACTCTTATAGAACTTTATCAATGTCTTAAACATCTTTAATTCATCACGTTTATAACATGTCTATTGACACGTTATGACCATTATCAACATGTCTTATAACATCTATAACCTTTATCAAAGTCTTAGACACGTTTCAACTGTCTTTAGACAGTTATGAACATTATCAACAGTTTATAGAAAAGTCTATGACAATTTTCAAAATTTTATAGACACGTCCTAAGACATTTTCAACTGTCTTATAGACACGTCTATAGACCTTTTCAAATGTCTTATGAACGTCCTATAGACACATTTATCAAGACGTCTATAGACACTTTATCACATGTTTTTAGCACGTCCTATAGCATCTTATCAATGTCTTATAGACACGTCTTATAGAAGTTTATCAACAGTCTTATTGACACGTCTATAGAACTTTATAACATGTCTTATAGACACGTCCTATAGACCTCTTATAACTGTTTATGACACGTTTAAATTTTACATGTCTATAACAGTCTATTGACATCTTATCAAATGTCTTATAGACAGTCTATAGACCTCTTATCAACATGTCTTATAGACACTCGCATTTTTCAATGCTTATAGCACGTCTATGCACTTTATCAACATGTTTATGAATTACAATTTATACAGTCTTAAGCGTCTTATAGAACGTTTATCACAGTCTTTTAGAAAGTCCTATGACACTTTATCAAATGTTTATGGGCACGTCTTATGACCTTTTATCACATGTTTTTTGACACGTTTAGGAAGTTTTATCAAATGTTTATAGACCCGTCTATAGACCATCTTATCACATTTCTTAGGACAGTTTCCTTTAAGAACGTTTTATCAACTGTCTTTTAGACACGTCTATAGAACTCTATCAAAATGTCTTATAGAACGTCTATAGACACTCTTTAAATGTTTTAGACAGTCTATAGACACTTTTCAACTGTCTTATAGACAGTCTTGCACTTTATCAACATGTCTTATAGGAAGTCTATACAATCAAATGTCTATAGACCGTCTATAGACAGTTTTATCAAATGTCTTATAGACACGTCCTATGACCTTTCAAATGTTTATGAAGTTTTAAATTTAACATGTCTTAAGACGTCCTATAGACACTTTATCACTGTCTATAGAAGTTTTCTTACTGTCTTATGACATCCCCCCCCCCCCCCCCCCCCCCCCCCCCCCCCCCCCCCCCCCCCCCCCCCCCCCCCCCCCCCCCCCCCCCCCCCCCCCTCACGTTCTTTTCAAAATGTTTTTAGACACGTCTTATAGACACGTTTTATCAACATGTCTTATAGACACGTCCTATAGACACATCTTATCAACATGTCTTATAGACACGTCCTATAGACACATCTTATCAACATGTCTTATAGACACGTCCTATAGACACGTCTTATCAACATGTCTTATAGACACGTCCTATAGACACGTCTTATCAACATGTCTTATAGACACGTCCTATAGACACATCTTATCAACATGTCTTATAGACACGTCCTATAGACACATCTTATCAACATGTCTTATAGACACGTCTTATAGACACGTTTTATCAACATGTCTTATAGACACGTCCTATAGACACGTCTTATCAACATGTCTTATAGACACGTCCTATAGACACATCTTATCAACATGTCTTATAGACACGTCTTATAGACACGTTTTATCAACATGTCTTATAGACACGTCCTATAGACACATCTTATCAACATGTCTTATAGACACGTCTTATAGACACGTCTTATCAACATGTCTTATAGACACGTCCTATAGACACATCTTATCAACATGTCTTATAGACACGTCCTATAGACACGTCTTATCAACATGTCTTATAGACACGTCCTATAGACACATGTTATCAACATGTCTTATAGACACGTTTTATCAACATGTCTTATAGACACGTCCTATAGACACGTCTTATCAACATGTCTTATAGACACGTCCTATAGACACATCTTATCAACATGTCTTATAGACACGTCCTATAGACACATCTTATCAACATGTCTTATAGACACGTCCTATAGACCCATCTTATCAACATGTCTTATAGACACGTCCTATAGACACATGTTATCAACATGTCTTATAGACACGTCCTATAGACACGTCTTATCAACATGTCTTATAGACACGTCCTATAGACACGTCTTATCAACATGTCTTATAGACACGTCCTATAGACACGTCTTATCAACATGTCTTATAGACACGTCCTATAGACACGTCTTATCAACATGTCTTATAGACACGTCCTATAGACACGTCTTATCAACATGTCTTATAGACACGTCCTATAGACACGTCTTATCAACATGTCTTATAGACACGTCCTATAGACACATCTTATCAACATGTCTTATAGACACGTTTTATCAACATGTCTTATAGACACGTCCTATAGACACGTCTTATCAACATGTCTTATAGACACGTCCTATAGACCCATCTTATCAACATGTCTTATAGACACGTCCTATAGACACATGTTATCAACATGTCTTATAGACACGTTTTATCAACATGTCTTATAGACACGTCCTATAGACACATCTTATCAACATGTCTTATAGACACGTCCTATAGACACGTCTTATCAACATGTCTTATAGACACGTCCTATAGACACATCTTATCAACATGTCTTATAGACACGTCCTATAGACACATCTTATCAACATGTCTTATAGACACGTCCTATAGACACATCTTATCAACATGTCTTATAGACACGTTTTATCAACATGTCTTATAGACACGTCTTATAGACACGTTTTATCAACATGTCTTATAGACACGTCCTATAGACACGTCTTATCAACATGTCTTATAGACACGTCTTATAGACACGTTTTATCAACATGTCTTATAGACACGTCCTATAGACACATCTTATCAACATGTCTTATAGACACGTCTTATCAACATGTCTTATAGACACGTCCTATAGACACATCTTATCAACATGTCTTATAGACACGTCTTATAGACACGTCTTATCAACATGTCTTATAGACACGTCCTATAGACACATCTTATCAACATGTCTTATAGACACGTCTTATAGACACGTCTTATCAACATGTCTTATAGACACGTCTTATAGACACGTTTTATCAACATGTCTTATAGACACGTCTTATAGACACGTCTTATCAACATGTCTTATAGACACGTCCTATAGACACGTCTTATCAACATGTCTTATAGACACGTCCTATAGACACGTCTTATCAACATGTCTTATAGACACGTCCTATAGACACATCTTATCAACATGTCTTATAGACACGTCCTATAGACACGTTTTATCAACATGTCTTATAGACACGTCCTATAGACACGTCTTATCAACATGTCTTATAGACACGTCCTATAGACACGTCTTATCAACATGTCTTATAGACACGTCCTATAGACACATCTTATCAACATGTCTTATAGACACGTTTTATCAACATGTCTTATAGACACGTCCTATAGACACGTCTTATCAACATGTCTTATAGACACGTCCTATAGACACATCTTATCAACATGTCTTATAGACACGTCCTATAGACACATCTTATCAACATGTCTTATAGACACGTCCTATAGACACATCTTATCAACATGTCTTATAGACACGTCCTATAGACACGTCTTATCAACATGTCTTATAGACACGTCTTATAGATAATATTAGCCTTTAATGAATCAATGTGCACAAACTTTGCCATGTTAAGTGGGATGACCAAGCATACAGACATTAATGTTGCTGATTGTCCACAAAGAACAAAATACAGAAATATCAAAATAAACCTCAGAACAAAAAGCATAATCTATTGATGTCTGTTAGTAAGAGAGATATAAGAAAAACCAAACTTACTCTGGACAACAGAGTAATCTGACATCTGAGATCACTGCAAGGTGGAAAGATTTGGCGCTCTACTGCTTTTCAGAAACATTGCAAGAGCTAAATATAAAGAAATGCAGCTTGTTTTATTTAATGTTAGTTTTCTAAATGGTAGAGCCACCATGAGCATCTAGTAAGGGGTGAGAGGAGAGCTCCAGACTGGGATCAGTCTGGATAAAAAGAGGTTTCATTCCTCTTTCTGTTATGTCCAGATCATAGAAATGCAGTTGGTGCAGCTAGATTACCTCTAGATGATCATAAAGCTTTTGATGCAATAGATTGGTAATACCTTTTTGCATCACTTAGAAATGTGGTTTCAGTAACAACTTAATTGAAATGAGTCAGAATATAATTTTGATGCTGGCATTACTGCAGATCAAGCCCTGATCCATCTGTCAATCTATAACTAAATGCTATGCTAAATGCTAAGGGATACAGAGTCAACCTTTCCCCACTCAGGAATTATGGCCTTCAGACTTGAAGGAGTGAAATTGGATCCCTGAGAAGTTGCATATTGTCTTACAGTAAAATTGTTTTAAATATTATATTTTGTCTTAATTTGTGTGTAAGTGTTCTTGTTGTCATTGTGTTAAACTTTATGTGAAAGCAGTAGAAGGTGGGCGAGGCTTTAAATTACCTGGTCCTGCAGCCAAGAAAAAGCCTCTCATGTCCAGAAACTCATTATCATAGCCATGCCAGCCATTTTGCCATGCTGAGGCCTCCCCTGAGTCATTTTTCCAGTAGGGCAGCGTCGCCTTGTTCTACGGAGAGCACAGGTCACACATTGTCCAGGATGTGAGTTAAGTTATAGAGAACAGCCTGTTGTTCATAGATCATATACAGTTTTTATGTCTATATTGCAGAAAAAACAACTGTCTTGGTATAGTTCTCCCTCCTAAATTATTTTAGAAACTATAGTGATGTGCAGTTATTCTGTTTAGTGAAATATTTGTTACCACCTGTTGTTTTCTGCACTTATGTAAGAAATGTTCATATTTACATTTTATACGTTGTTTTACCAGTTAGATCAACTTTATGTTTTAACTCTTTATCCATTAAATTCTTTTCTGTTCTTAGTGCAGTAATCCAAGAAGACCTGATGAGACAACACTTATTTCACACCTTAGTGATGAACCAGCCTGGTTCAGCAACCAGTGTGAGAGGGGAAACAAAGTTTCCTCTCTTATAATGGAACCGTTCAGGGATTTCCTGCTTGGCATAAATATGCATGTTCTGGACGCGGCTCAAGGCAGCATAAACCTGGAAATAAACACATAGACAAACAGAAACATTTACAATCTCAAACATCAACGTTTGGAAAGAAACTCTGAAAGGTCAAACGTTGCTGAATGATTGGCAGTCCTTAGAAACACCTCACAGTGGAGACCTGGTAGTATAGGCACCTAATGGTATATTTTACATCCACCCATTTATCATCTGACTTTATTTTTTAAGATGATGTACTGAGAAGGGGCCACTGGGCACTTAAGCCATTCAGTGGGAAGATTGAATCCTTGAGGGCAGAATCAACCATCGCCTCCACCATCGACGGCCTTCTTGACATCAAATGCAGCCTGACTGACTTTGAGAGAAACTCCAGCAGACTCAGGTGGAGGCATCAACAACCACCTGGATCAAAGACTACCTGACAGACAGACCACAGGCTGTTAGACTGAAGGCTCATCTGTGTGATCCAGCAGCACAGGAGCACCACAGGGGACGGTACTCTCTCCATTCCTTTTTCCTCTGTTCACCTCTGACTTCCAGGACCAGACAGAGTCCTGTTATCTGAAGAAACCCTGTGATGACTCTGCAGTCATTGGGAGCATCAAAGATGGAGCAGAAGCTGAGGACAGAGAGCTGGTGAAGCGCTTTGTGTGGAAACAATCATCTGATCCTGAAGGTCAACAAAACAAGATGATTGGAGATTTCAGAAGAAACAGGAACAAGTTGAATCCTGTTAACATCCTGGGAGAAGAAGTGGAGGAGGAGGAGGAGGAGTAGAAATCCCTTGGTGTTCACCTGGACAACAACCTGGACTGGAGACACAACTGGAGACATTATTGAGATATTTAGCATATGTTGCTCATTTGGGTCCAACTCAGGTTGGAAAGACCACCTACAGATCTTACAGACCTTTTTCCTACCAACAGCTTTTAACATCTAACTGTTAATTTCTCCTGAAGGATCAATCAAATGTTTCTGGATTTAATGTATTTTTTAGTCCACTTGTCTTAAATGCAGAGATGGCAAAAGTACTCACTTTCCGTACTTGAGTAAAAGTACAGATACTTGTATTAAAAAATACTCTGGTAAAAGTGGAAGTACTGATTAAACTTCTTTACTCAAGTAAAAGTAACAAAGTACAGGCTTGTAAATTTACTTAAAGTATAAAAGTAAAAGTAGAAACCACTTTTTTCATGGCGTTGCCTACATTTTAAATGGATGTCTGCCAATAGGACTAGATCTCCGTTGTGTTCATTTTCAATCATCTCGTCGTCCATGCTACTATGCTAACGCCACCGCCACCAAGCTGCAATGATTTGCCGCCAATGAATACCGCCGAATCTGTCGATTCGTCTTGTAGTGGTGCGTCAAATGCAACGTAGATTCCCATCCAATTAGATTGAATTTGGTATTGATGACGTGAAAAATAATAACGGTAACTCCATTGAAACGATTCAAAACTAAAGTAACGAGACCATTTTTTAAAATGTAAGGAGTAGAAAGTACAGATATTTGTGTAAAAATGTAAGGAGTAGAAGTAAAAAGTCGCCATAAAAATAAGTAGTAAAGTTAAGTAAAAATATCAGAAAAATCTACTTGAGTACAGTAACGAAGTATTTTTACTTCGTTACTTCCCATCTCTGCTTAAATGTTTAGGACCTTTTTTTTCCAGAACCAGAGAGAAAGGCCAGCCTGAGCAGATGGGACTGCTGCTCTGCTTCAACAGAGACCTGCTCCTCTAAACTCGTCTTCCTGCTCCCAGACGTCTTCAACATGTGTTATAGGTATAGAAATGTTTGATTTAAGGCTCTAGTTTAGCTTTGGATTGTGGAGTTCTGAAACGGAGGCATTCTTATAAGAAATAGGTTCAAATTGATTTAACATCCTCAGACGGAGGGAAACAGCTCTGACTTAGACATCCTCAGTACATACTTTTATACAGAATCCCTACACACTCTCTCTCTCCCATAGAACCAACCCACCCCCTGCACAAAATAACTTTCTCAAACTTGAACATTTGCAGGAAAAACACTTTTGATTCATCAAGGACATTCCTGTTAGGTTAATATCTTTCACTGGCAGATAAACATTGTGAACTCATTCTTATCTCTCATGACCTTCCCTTCACCCTTGTCACCTTAAACATTACAGCATAGAGACTGGTACAACATTTCTCTGAACTCACTCCAATTCAGGGAGGCAAACTCAAAACAAGTTATCTCAAATAGGCCAAGGAAAAATATGGTTCCAGAGGATCTGCTTCATACAGGCGTGCGTCACTGATTATGTGAAGAAGTACCTTTTGGTACGAGGTATTCTTGGGCCACAGGCTGACCACTGGTCCTCTGTCCATCATCTTCACTATGTCGGACATGTCTATATATTTATCCAGCTCTATCACCTTTTCCATCCACTGGATCTTCGTCATACCGTGGTCTGAAAATAGCAGCACATTCAGCTGGTTCACCATCTTGCTTTCCTGCAATAAGAGCAACAAACACAGAAAATATAACCAAACTATTCATTTTAATATTCAGTCTGATTCTCTACACATCATCTCAGGTTACTTTGCAGAGACTTGGTTGATTGACTGATTGATCGACTGTATTGCTTTTTCTCATAGTAGCTTCATCTGGTCTGTTCCTGTTTGGCTGTGACTCCATCCTGGAGAGAAATATCAGCTGTGCTGCTGCCATCAACACCTTTGATTGTAGATGTTGGAGATCGGCCTGTTTACAGTGTAGTCCTGTTTCTCTGACTGTGACTAACTGGATGTGCTCTCTTCATTCATTCTTCATTCTTCCACGTGTGCTTCGGTCTCCTTGAACCCCAGTCAGACTGACTCACACTGAGCCTGGTTCTGCTGGAGGTTTCTTCCTGTTCAAAGGGAGTTTTCCTCTCCACTGTCGCTACAACCATGCTTAGTGTGAGGGATTGCTGAAGAGTCAACGAGTCGATGCAATCAGCTGGTTTTCCTTAGATAGAGAACTTTGAGTCAATTTCACTGGATGATCTGGTGAACTGGAAAGTGACCTGAGATGACATGATGTGAATTGGAGCTATAGAGATAAACTAAATTAAATTGAATTGTATTGATTGATTGACATTTGTTTGGAATCCAGTTTACGTGGTCTGTTTGTTTGTTTCCTTTTCTCCACCACCAGGAGGTGCCCTGTCTTCGTTGGCCCTCCCTGCACACCTGTGGCTCATTGGATCATTATCTGGAGGAGTATTTAAGCAGTGGGCTGTCACTACCTCGACACCAGAGTGTTTGCTAGTTTCCGGTACTCTAGCCAAAATGAGTTTAGCTGAGTCTAACCTAGTGTTGTTTCTCTGAGACTTATGTTCCTTTGTCTTTGTTTCTTCGGCAGGAAAACTTCTTGTTTACTGGATACCTGGACCTTCTCCCCCTGGAAGGAATTACCGAGTTCACACTGAGCAGGGGTAAACCTCCACATGATCCGTTCAAGTTCCCATCGGAAATCCAAGTGACAGTCTGCTCCATTACTCCTCCGGGTCCAACGCTTGTCTACCTGTCCGTCCTCCAACATGTGCACTATTCTCTGGATTCCCCCACACAGACTGGATTCAAGGACTGACAAGGCCCCCTCAAACGTGAGTCCCATTCCAGCATTATTCTACCAACATCCAAGATTCCTATGGCTCCTAAACTGACCTCTGAACTTCCCTTCTCACTTCCAGTTGCTGTTCACCAGCTCACTGAGTACCAGAACCTTCACCTGTACTCCACTACAATAAACCTGTTAAACTTTTCCCGTGTTCTCTCAGTGGTTTCTCTCTATGTGGGTCAGATTTGTAAAACCGATCATGACAACATTGTTGACCTCAAACTGTCAAAGCAGAAGAAGAAGATGCCAAAGGAAGGAAAAATGTCTGTTCCTTCATGTAAACATGAGCGGCGTTACACCATCTCTCATTCCCAGACATGGCCAGCCCCCTCCTCTCTTTTTCCCCCGTCTCTGCTAAAGTCCTGTCTGCACCGATGAGTTTAAAGCCGTCCACTGAAACCAGTGAGTCCAGGACAAATCCATCTAACCACATCTCAGTGAAGCACATGATAGTAGCATCTCTGTACCTGCCCTGGAAACAGTTAAACCTGCAATCTCCTTAGCCTTGTGCAGAGATCTTGCGTTTCTCATCACAACTGATGGTAAATATCTTTTCCTCCGCTTCGTCCTCCCACCCATGCACCCTCTCCGTTTTCTCCTTATTTCTGCCGGAATGTTTGGTCTTGCAACGTGATGTGGAGCTGGGCTGCTGTGCATAGCAGCCCATAGCCCCATTAGCTGCTCCCGTGTTTAAACAATAGGTTTAGAGTCGCAGACAAAAGGGTCTCCCATTGCAACATAAAAAGAAAAAAGGTCCCAGAAGTTGGCTTCCTCAGTGCACAAACCTTCAGAATATCAGATACGGGATTCACTAATAGAAAAACATTCCAAAAAAAACAATATAAAATAGAGAAAATAGGAAAGGAGAACAGGGAGCCACCTAACAGGCTGCTGCATGCACAGCGGTCTGCTCACTGAAAGAAAGACGAATCATTCAGGCCTTTCTGGGAGCTAAAAGTTACTTTTCCTTGTTTGGTTTTGGTTCTGCAGACTAGATCTGATCCAGTAGACCTGAGAGGTCTGACAGTCAGTCTGTAATGGAGCGAAGTCATTCATGCCTCTTTCTCACCAACAGAACCTTTGTTCTTCAACCGGTTCAGAGTCAGTGCTGCAGAACGTGGTTGCTTGGTTACAAGCTGAAGCCAGTTTGGACCAGGAGTTGATCTGATTGTCTGATGAAATTCAGCTGTTTTCAATCTGCTGGTTGATCTACAACCAGAACAAGCTCTGCATTTGGTGGAAACAGGTGTAATCCGGTTCAGGAACCGGAATGGGCTCCAAGCAGCGTCGGTGGGAAAGCCCTAAAAGTGACCTACCAACCGAAGAGTTTTAAAAACAATTCTCTGAGTTACAGGGAGCCAGAGGAAGGACTTCAGCTCTACAGAGAGAGAAGATCAGCGCTGCAGTGACCCAGCAGTGACCAAGTACCAGATCAGAAATGGAAAATAGAAAAAGGAATAAAAAGGATAAGAATCATAAAAAATATCCAGAAAATCAATGGAAATCTGAAAGAATCTAGAAAGAATTTAGTCTTCAATCAGCAATTCAATGTCCGCTTTTTTCTCAAAAGCTATTTATGAATATTATTGGTCCATTAATAGACATTTTCAGTAGGATTGTTATTACCTTAATTTTCTGGTTCAGTGTCTGCATGACGGCATCCAGGTCTCTCACCGCCGTTCTGACCTGAGGAGACTCTGGACCAAAGTGATGACCTTCCACATCGATTCTCTCATAGTAAATGGCGGCCATGTCTGCTTGGCCTGAACTAAAATAACAGGGAGAGATGGTTGGAAGATCAGAGCAGGATATTAAGGGTTAAAAAGATTCTAGCACGTTGGCACCATGGAGATGAAAGGAGGAATTTATAAGCTGTAATTTTATGATCATGATCTATGAACTATAGTTTTAGAAAGTTACAGCTTCAAAAAGGAAAAAAAGACTTTTGCTTTTCATTACATCTGATTTATAAACTACGATTAAATTCATCATAGATTCGTTTTGATTGGATTAATCTTTATCATTTGTAAAAGAAAGCTTAAAGTAGGAATGTTTTTAGATGTATACTTTTCAATAATTACAGATATTTTATTAAATTTCCCTTAAAAGTTAATGTGTTGTGTTGTCAGGATAAAATCAACCATCTTGACGCATCATCAGGTGAAACGGCATAAGGATAAGAATGGAGGGAAAGGCCGTCTGCTTGTAATGACTGGTTCACCTCCAAGGAACTTGATTTGATCAAATGGACCAAAATGGCTGAATTAGATGCTGATTGATAATACAGGGTGAGGTAAACCATGGCGTTCCTGCTGACATGCCAGGAAGTGGACAGGCCTTTGGCTGGGACGCTCTAAGGGTGGCGTCTGATGGACCTACGGTTACGCAACACCAACGCTTTCATCAGGTTCTGTATTTTCCAAAACATGAAAGCAAACATATATTTATTAAATGCTGTCCTTAGTGCCAAAATACACTGATATTTATATTTCTAGTTAGACAGATATCTATTCATTATTAATAAAGTGAATGTATGAAAAAATGACTATATAAAGACATGACAGGAAGGGGTTATCTGTCAGGGGGGAGGGCCTGGGCTACACTGCTGCTCTCCTCCCTGTGGTGGAGGGGATCTGGGGGGTGGGGGGTGAGCAGCGTTACTTGGCTCCTCCCTCTTCTTATGCTCCCGTCACTAACAGGTTCCTGTATGCTGGTGCGCTGACGGTTCTATAGGTGTGGGGTTGAGTACTTCCATTCCTTCTGGCTGGCGGGGCCTGGCCTGGGCCTGCTGGCCCAGTTGGGGGGTGGTACGCCCCCAGACTTTGGACCCCTGGACCTCATCAAGGTCCTCCTTGGAATAGACAACCCCGTCCACCTTGGGTGTGACAGGATGCCGCTGAAGCCCATGAGCTCACTACCATGGCCCCATGGGACCCTGGCACTACAGCCTTTAGGGTCGGGGCCCTCAGGGACTGTGCCCCTTTGGGACCCGGGTGCTCTTGTCTGTTCTTCTCTAGTGGGTGTGGCCATCCCTACGTCTGTCCTCCTTGGGTCCCAGTGATCAGACTCCCTCTGGATATCCAGGGCCAGAATCACTTCTCTATGGGTCTTGGGCCCTGTAGGGCCAGTCTGGGGCCGCCCACACCTGCTATTCAGAATATTTTCATTCTGCAGAAGTTTTGTAAATTCTTTATTCAGCAGCATGCCCATGCATACATGCCATAGGAGTTTGGTTGCAGGTGTTCATGGATTCACCCTGATCCTAAATGCTCACCTGCAGCTACAGATCTATCCCACCCTGATTGATAGGGTGGAATCACCACACATGGATATCTGAGGGATACCTGCTGCTCTGGAAACTGCTGCTCTATGTCCCTCTCGTCTCATCCAGGTGTGGAAGAAGACTTCTAGAAGTTACTATTTATCTTCTTTGTCCATTTATGCAGTTTTACTTTCTCTTTTCATTCACTCGTTCCTGTCTCTATCTCTCCCTCTCTCTCCCCTTAGTTCCTCTCAGTTTTATAGGATTTTACTCCCTCAATCATTTTCAATAGAGTTTCATATAAAAGTATCAAGCGGAGCCTTACGGCAGTGTTCATAATGGTCTGCTGCTGAAAGCAAAGCTGTTGGGCTATTAGCTATCTGCTAACTCTGCGACATCTATTCCCAGATTGATTGATTGTCTTTATTGGTCTCACAGTGGAGAAATTGACTCGTTCCATCAGCTTAATTAGTCAAAGGAGAAGAAGAAGAAGGTGCCAAAGGAAGAAAAAGGTGCATGATGGGATATATACAGTATATAAAGCGTGTCCACATAGGACAGCTTTTGTTTTATAGTAGGATTATTACACAGGTTTATTGCACAGGGTGTTTACATTGATATTTATATAGATATTTATAGATATTTATATATATAGTTATATTATATAGTTATTTCACAGGGTATCAAATAGTACATCTATATTGGCTAAACAGGATACAAGAAAAAAAGAAAAAAACTTATAGACAACAATGTATATAAATCTTTAAAGTGCTCCTTTGGCTAAAAGAAGGTATTTGGTAACTGTATTGTATAAATATATGTAATGTATTTAAGTAATGTTTAGTGGCGCGGCTCCTGCTCAGTGTTAATAAGGTAATTAGAGTGGAGCCACACAGTGCTTCTTCTAATCTTCTTTTATTTTATTCTTTATGGAATTTTAATACCTGTGTTGTTTTTATTCTGAAGTTGAACCTAACGGAGAGGATCCAGTTTGTTTGTTTTTCTCGCCATCAAATGGATTAAAGGGGTTAGAAAAGTGCGTCAAACTGTCAACAGCTTCCAGATTAAACGCTGATGGAAGGACGATGTTAGCATTAGGCACCATTTTGGCCTGAATCCTAACAAGATGGAGGGAGATTTTCACCCACATTTAACCTCTCCATCAACCATTGGATGCATCTGACTCTGGAAAAGATCAGCATCACACTGTAATTAAGATTTAACTAAGATTTATTTTTTCATAGATTGTGTGCTCAGTGTTAATGAAACTGTTGCAGAAGGAGAGGATGATCTGTTTGTTATAAGTGGAAAACCAAATGAAAAGATAATGAAAAATAAATGATATTTAGAGGTTTGAAAATCATCCAGAATAAATAAATAAGTATTCAGATCAAAAGATATCAAGCAAATCTTTTTCTAGTTATTCCAGATCCCATTTCCTGACCTGTTTTGATTGACTGACCATCATTTTTAAGATACGTTAAATAAACGTGTCTCTTACCTGAGCACAGCCAGCGCCTTGCTGATGGACTGCGTAATATTCATTTCTGATGGATTATAAACATATTCCTCACAGAATGATGGACGAACATTCAGAATCTCCACTTCACAGCCTGAAAACAATGAGAGGACAGAACTGATGCACCTAAAATACAAGGGATCCTAAAGGTTGGTTAAATGTTGTAACTGGTATCACGCTGAAGGCTGTTGGCAGGAAGGATCTCCTATAACACAGAGAAGCTGTTGGAGAACCGACTGACGAAGCTCAGCTACCAAAATGATTGGGGGGGAAAAAAGCAGAATTTAGGGAATGAGACATTAATTTATTATAATTCAAATTAGATTTCAATTTCTGCTGTTTTTGTAACTAAAACATAAACTTATATTTTTATCTGAACACTATGAGCCTGATCTTCATCCTGTGGGGTCAGGGGGGCCGCAGAGACTCCCTGACTCCCCTCTCTCCAGACTCCTCCTCCAGCTCCTCCCAGGCCAGCAGAGACATAGACCCTCCATGGTGTCCTGGTCCTCCTCCTGGTCCTCCTCCTGGTCCTCCTCCTGGTGGAACGTCCCTGGAACCCCTCAGAGAGAGGCGTCCATCAGATAAAGATGTCTGATCCTCCTCAGCTGACTCCTCTGGAGGAGAAGAAGCTCTACTCAGATGACCCAGCTCCTCTCTCTGAGGGACCGCCCAGCCTCCCTGCAGAAGAAGCTTGGATCCAGGATCTGGTTCTTTGGGTCCTGATCCAGATTATGACCGTAGGTGAGGGGAGGAACATAGACTATAGATGTTAGCTCTCTGAACCACAGCAGATGGAGGTCCTCCTGAAGGGGACAGACCACCCTTTTCCTGAGGAGAACCAGAACCATGGCCTCGGACTTGTAGGAGCTGATTCTCATCCCGGCCTCTTCACACCTGGCTGAACCGCCTCAGTTCCAACTGTAGGTCTCTGCAGGTGGGAGCAGAACCTCGTCATCCACAAAAACCAGGGATGAGACCCGCTGGTCCAGAAGCAGACCTCCTCTGGTTCTACAGATCCAGTCCATGAAGGTTCTGAGTAGACTGGTAGCAGAGGGCAGCCCTGCTGGAGTCCAACCAGCAACCCAGACCAGACACCTGCTCCTTTATACAGAGACCGGATGGCCCCTAATAAAGGGCCCCTGGCTCCGTACTCCTGAAGCTCCCCCTACAGGGCACCATGATGGACAAGGCTGGATGCCTACTCCAGGTCCACAGGTTACATGTTGGACTGGTTGAGCAAACTTCCATGAACCCTGAATCTCTGTGCAGAGAGTGGCGCTCCTCCTGAAGCTGAGGTTCAACAGTCAGCTGGACTCTTCTCTCCAGGCATAGTCCTCCAGGAAGGCTGAGAAGGTTGATCCCCTTTTGTTGGAACAACCCCTCCGCCAGTCCCCCTTGTTATGCGAGAGAACCACCACCCCTGTCTGCCGAACCAGGGCCACTGTTCCTGATCTCCACCTGATGTTAAAGAGGCGTGTCAGCCATGACAGCATCCAGAGCATTAAGGTTCTCATGCTCTGACCTGGATGACGAACGAATCGAGCCCAGAGCCCCCGTTTCCTCTTCCACCGTGGAAGGTGTTTCGTTAGCCCTGGCTGCCAGCCCCCCCACACAACATTACTGACCCACTGCCAAACCGGTCCTGCTGAAGGATGTTGCAGGCAGCAGCTCTCCATGGTGTCTCCAGACTCTGTCACATCTGTCACTGTGCTCAGTGTGAACCTTCTGTATATGTGCAGAGCATTGGACACCAGCTGTAAATTAGCCAATCCTGGTGCTCTCTGGTAAATACCCAGCATCCTGCACGGTGTTGCTCTGTGAGCACAACCCCCATCTGTGGATGTCAGGCCCTCATACCATCCTCATGGAGCCAGTTTCTAACAGTTTGTGCAGACACATGCACATTGGTGGCCTGGTGGAGGTCATTTTGCAGGGCTCTGGCAGTGCTCCTCCTGTTCCTCCTTCACAAAGGCAGAAGTAGCGGTCCTGCTGCTGGTTTGCTGTCCTCTTATGGCCTCTTCCCCGTCTCCTGGTGTCCTGGCTTGTCTCCTGGTAGCACCTCCAGCTAATGCAGTACTACCCACCTGTGTGGGTCGTAGAGTCCGTCTCATACTACCACGAGTGTGAAAGCACCACCAACATTTAAAGTGACCAAAACATCAGCCAGAAAGCACAGGGAGTGAGAAGGTCTGTGGTTCCACCTGCAGATCCACTCCTTTACAGAGTGGGTCTCGCTAACTGCCAATAATTTCCACCTGTTGTCTTTTCCATTTGCACTAAAACACGTTATCACATTTGGCTATCATGTATGGATATCATGTTTGACAAGCGTGGAAAGTCGTAGGCTTATATAGCATTATCTGGGCTGTAATAATGCAGGTTTAAATCACGCACAGGTGGAACTGCAGCAGGTCTACATTTAGGATCATTTACTGAAGTTCAAACCATTTGTGGGATCTAATAAGGCGCTCCAGTAGGGGGAAATTTCAGTGTTGGTGCATCCCATCCAGCCCATTTTTCCCCTTATAGTAGGAAAAACAAAAGAAAGGGATCACAATATACATCAGACGGAAAAATGAATCATATTTCATACTGCATCTTTAGCAGGATACAGTTTGAGAAAAAGAACCAAATAAGACAAGACTGATCATTCCCGCAGGGTCAATGTAACTAAGCGATGTTACAGTTCATCAGCCGAACAACAAGGCAGAGGAGGGAGGGGGGCAGAGGTGAGTAGATAAAGGCCTCTCAAGGTCAGTGTGGAGCTGAATTTCAGATAGAGACATATTGATTTAGTCAGAGTTTTTCCTGGAGTCCCACCAAGGAGAGACCCAAGAAAACGGATTTTATGGTCCACTGGCCATGAACCGAGCTTACAGCTTCTCCAAGATTTTACCATTTCACCTCTGAGTCCAGGAACCATAACCAGCCTGTGACCCTCTCCAAGGATCGCATCCAGTTTATGGTTCTGCTCCCTTAACATCTCAGTCTGAGCCTCTATTGCTCTGCAGATCCCCTCATACATGCCAGGCAGCCTGACAACAACCTAAACAGCCCCACCATCTTCTGAATTTCAGGATCTGCCGGGTATTAACCAACTCCAAATAGTAGAAATCCTGTTATCAAAGATTCAATTATGTCTGTATCTTCTATGTCCTCCACAAACATCATCGTCAGGAACACAGTCTTCCACTTCTGCCAGGAATCCATCGCATATCCGGAGAAAAATGTACCGTCTGGATAGGAGGGTTCCCCCTTACCCTGTTCTCCTGTAGAGAGAATCTCATCGACTGCATGAAGAGACCAGCTGACCGGATTCATGGTTCAGTTTGTAGGTTTGTAGGAAGATATGTGAAGAGAGGCTAATATAACTATGCAGGACAGACAGGGAGGGAGACAGAGAGGAAGCATCCTCCTCCACCGACAGACAAGATGGGTTGAAATGAACCGAAGATAAATCTAAGACACCAATATCAGAATATTGCTGCCTAATGTTGTTGTTGGAGGGGAGCAGATCTTCCGTATGTGTAATGATGGTCATAGTATGCATGTAAAGCTTTATCATTAGGTGGTGATGTAGGAAAAACTGAACCAAGGATCCTTTCTGCTCACAGCTAAAATCAGTCCATGAAGAAACCATCCAATATTTCTCTTCCTTTTGGGATTAATGAACTAATCTGGAATTTACTTCAAGTCACAGACAATCTTTCAGGTAAAGGTAGAAAAATATGATGATGAAAAGAGTTTCATCTCACCAGGCCAGAAATACATGAAAACCTTCTTCCCCAGTTTCTGCATGGTGACCCAGAGAGGTTCTGATCCGTTCCACCACAGAGACAAGCGACTGTCAGGGTTGGTTCCAATAAGGAACTCCTTGTTGGAGGTTACATCCCACATGTAATTTCCAATCATCTGATGGGTTTCACAGTGACAGCCTAAAAAGAAAAAGAAGCAGAGATACAAAAGGCAACTGTCAACCAGCTCCACAGGCGGCCCCGTCCAGGAAACACACAGCCAGGCAGACGAGCTCCGAGCCAGCTCCCATGTCAGAGGATGAAGAGAGCACATCCAGTTAGTCACAGTCAGAGAAACAGGACTACACTGAAAAACAGGCCAAGCTCCAACATCTAGAAGCAAGGTGTTGATGATGCAGCAGCACAGCTGATATTTCTCTCTATCTTCTCTCCATCCATCCATCATCTATTCATCCATCCATCCATCCATCTTCATTCCATCCATCCATCCATCTTCATTCCATCCATCCATCCATCCATCCATCCATCTTCATTCCATCCATCCATCTATCCATCCATCCATCCATCCATCCATCATCCATCCATCCATCCATCCATCCATCCATCCATCCATCCATCCATCTTCATTCCATCCATCCATCCATCATCCATCCATCCATCCATCCATCCATCCATCATCCATCCATCCATCCATCCATCTTCATTCCATCCATCCATCCATCCATCTTCATTCCATCCATCCCTCCATCCATCCATCCATCATCCATCCATCCATCCATCCATCATCCATCCATTAATCCATCCATCCATCCATCCATCCATCATCCATCCATCATCCATCCATCCATCCATCCATCCTTCCATCTATCTATCCATCCATCCATCCATCCATCCATCCATCTTCATTCCATCCATCCATCCATCCATCTTCATTCCATCCATCCCTCCATCCATCCATCATCCATCCATCCATCCATCCATCCATCATCCATCCATTAATCCATCCATCATCCATCCATCCATCCATCTGACCATCAATCTTCCATCCATCCATCATCCATCCATCCATCCATCCATCCATCCATCTTCATTCCATCCATCCATCCATCCATCTTCATTCCATCCATCCATCCATCCATCTTCATTCCATCCATCCATCCATCCATCCATACATCCATACATCCATACATCCATCCATCCATCTTCATTCCATCCATCCATCTATCCATCCATCCATCCATCCATCCATCTTCATTCCATCCATCCATCCATCCATCCATCATCCATCCATCCATCCATCCATCCATCATCCATCCATCCATCCATCCATCCATCCATCTTCATTCCATCCATCCATCCATCCATC